GAAATTAAAGCCTGAAAAAAAATTCAGGCCTGAACGGGATTCGAACCCACGACCTCTGCGATACCGGTGCAGTGCTCTACCAACTGAGCTATTAAGCCATCTGGGAGCTGGTTACATTGTGAGTTCGTAATGTACCCGTAGATGGTGAAGAGTGCAAGTGAATATACGAAATATCATATAGTTGAACTGCGAAGAAAGAGATGAAGACACGATTGATCATCGCAATCAAGACCTAACAGCCTGAAAAAAATTCATCTGTGACCAGCTCCCAGTTGGCTTGATATTATAAAAGAATAAAGGAATATCACACCTGAATTAAATGAAACGTTCTGCTCACAGTAGTCACTCTAGTGTAATTTGCTCAACAAAATTTTGACTTTTGAATCTTGAATTTTGAATTTTGAATTTTTTTCCTTGATCCGATCCGTGATCCGATCCGGGATCCGATCCGATCCGATCCGTGATTCGGTCCGTGATCCGGTCCCTGATCCGATCCGTGATCCGGTCCGGTCCGGTCCGATCCTGCTTTTGTCGACGTCGGTGCAGCGCGTGCACTTTCAAGTCCGAGTCGGCGTTTTCAATTGCCAATAAATCTTGACAAAGATTTCTTTCGTTGTCTTTTGTGCTGAGATGCTGCAACAATTTTTACCAACGCCAAAAGGCTACTAACATCATGTGTGTTTCTTTAACACAGTGAAAGTTTACACTACGAAAATAAAATAGACAAGGAGTTTTGATAACTCAACCAACAAAATCGAAATCCTTGTTCGAGTTGATTAAAGAAATCGTCATCGTAACTTTGCCGATTATTTCTGCTGTATTCACATATTTTCAGCTAAGCTTTTAATATGTTCTCAAACATTTATCAACCTTAAACATATTTAAAAACTAGAGATGTTATTTGAGTTCGATGTACATTTTCACAAACAAAACTGAGCAGCATCTACAGACATAAACTTATTGTCACTTATTGGGCCTTGATGAAACATCAAGCGTTGCTTACAATTTAGGCAAAACTCAAACTTGCAATTATTTTCTTTTTACTTTTCGGCCGCGATATACTCTGGCGAAATCCTCGCAAGCGTGTGGCAAGAGGAGGGAAACTTTGAAGTCCTGGAACGCTGCTATATCCAACTATATCCAACTAGTTTTTTGCTGTGTTATGGAAAAGCTGTTAATCTTCAACATATGTGAAACTTAGAGTGGAGTAATGTGGAGCTCTTGTAAAAGAAGCAGCGGAACATAACTTGGTCAGTGATATAAAGCGGGACATAACTAAATTCGACGCTGTTTTACTTCATTCAAACTGGAGCAGCTTAAGACGAAAATACTGAAGTAAAATTCCAACAGACATGAACGTATCAAGTTATGGGCCAAAAGTACCAAACATTTCGGGAATTTCCGACGCCATTTCCCCGCGCTACATCCGCAAAAATCTTCGCAGCGTGTACGCGCGTGTACCGCACATGATGGCGCAATTTGTTTTAAAAATAGAAAATCGTCTCGTATCATAGGGACAGCCCTAATACTAGAAATAGCGCGCACTTACGGTCTCCGTCCCCGATTGTGGCTCCTGATGAAACGTCGATTCTCTAAACCCTTCCGTCCGCCAATCACTGACTTTCCTGAAAGAAAATCAAACTTAAGATGTAAGTAAATACCACAGCACAGATCATCAGCAGCGTCGGTATCAGATCTAGATAGAACTGTGTTTTTAGGGTTCACTGAATTGTGTCCGTTTTCCCGATTTTCCTTCAGGAAAGTACTAGGCAATTATAGTGTGTACGACGTCATCCTAAATAGCAATTTAATAGTTCCAGCATAAATTTTAGTGCCAGTTTCCTAGTCATGAAACTTGTAGAACTCAACATACTTCATAAAAAACAAAGCTAATACAAGTTTGATCCTCTTCTAAAGATGTGTCTCTTCCTGCAAATCCAATGAATCAAATGACTATAGTTTTTTATCGTTCTGTTCGTTCTATGATCAGCTTTCTTCTTAGCTACACTATATTGTTAGTATATACGCTTACCTTGACGCAGTTCCATGGTAGCGGATGGAGGCTGGGTTAGTGGAGGGGGCAATGGTGGCTTGCCTACAGATCACAGCATACAAATACAATCAACTCTGTTCTGTTTAATTGATTTATGATCTGAAATGCATTCCACCCTTTCCCTCACGAGAACGTTTCCTCGGTGTTCCTCAAAGGGTCCATAAAAATTTTGTTGACGATAACGAGTAAGGCAATATATTTAACAATTCAGCAGTGTTGCTCAAACCCGCTGTTTCTCTATAGAATTGGAATTAACAATTTGTGGAAAAATTTCCCGGCCATTTGGATATCATTTTTGTACATGGGTATTTAGAATCTTTTCACCATGGTATAAGTAAAGGTTTCTTAAAACTTTTAACGATAAAAATCAACGGTAAAACACGACGTTTCGACCGTACTTCGGTCATTATCAAGTGAATGGTAAAATTGAACGGTGAATATATATATGCACGTAAGAAGTATAAAAAATTTGCAGGTGTAAACGGACAATAAAAACACTGATACAAAGAAAAAAATCTAATGAAAAGCTGATTAAAGACCTTAGCACGAATTGAGTCAGATTGTACATTGAGAGTAGGTCTCAACTCCTGGATAAAAAACATCTCATAGACGAGGTAGTCAAATTTGGTCGTGCACTTCATTAAAACGCTAAAATTCTTTGTAAGATCTTTTAGAGCCAAAGAATGTTTGTCGCGAACCATGATAATCTTTATTTTAGCATACAATACTACGAGCTTCCATTTTCTTCGATCTATTTTGTAAGGGAGACATCTGCAGTGGTCATTAGAGTGAGTTGTAACTAATTGCTTACCTTCGTCAGAAAGGTCTTTCATAGCCATGTCATCGTTATCACATTGTGCTCCTTCATTATCATTCGCCTTCATAACGTCACTACTCGGTCCGTGTTTTACATCAATGTCAACCTTCGTCTCCGTTTTTGATTTACCTCTCTCTCTCCTCTTATGCATGTTGGCAGAACGAACAAGGCATACACTCCTTGTTCGCATTCAAGACTTGAAGCGCTCACTCCTACAAGCCAAGCATTATGTACAAACAACTAGTGCGCCCTGTGAGCGTTCCGTGCACACTCAAAGCCTATGGAATGTATGGAGAATGCTACCTACACTGCAATGCTTTAATTTATAATCTACCCGCTCAGTAAAATGACTCACAGACTCAGTGATAATTCAATAGAATTTAGAGCGGTTTTCACTTGAGTGTCGAAAGAAATTTGCACTTGCTTTGGTTTTGTGTTACTACACTTAGCGATTGGCTTAAAAAACTCGCGCCACTTTGTCACCTGGCAATCAGAACTAAGATGAAAACCAAACGTTACTCGCTTGCACAAGTTTTCCCGCGCTTTGCGTCGGCTACATGTGTCTGCTTTGAGTTTTGATTGATTTAGTGGATTGACTGTGTAATACGTGTCTCTGTTTCAAAACGAATCCAAGTGCAAAACCTTTCATATGAAAATGAGTTTGATTTGCATGAAAATGAACCCGAACGAAGAACTCGTTGTCATATGAATTGTTTCGCACAAAGACTCGTTTTGACACAGAGGCAAATGGCAACTCGGAAATTGCCTATTGTGATTGGCCAGGACCATTACTCAATTGAAAGCTGCTCGTAACACCTAAAGAAATTGAAAGAGGAACAATTGCAGATCGTGTGCAGGTCCTCTTAATATCCGTCAGTGAATAGTCGTTTGCCTTGATAAACGACCTGGTAATGCTTGGCAATCTCTTTCTTCTGCAACAACAAAAAGCCAGTAGTTTGACGACTTCTTGTCGAAATCTCGGACAGCGAAATGAGTAAATCACTGGGTTAGCTGTTGAACCAGCCATGGCAAGTAAAACAGAAAACAACTCGAACTTCCAGGCTTCTCTGATATCCACAAACAGTGTAACGATAAGTCTTCCAAATGTAGGAGTCCAAGTAACTATGAATGTTATGGTAACGAAGATAAAAAGTTTTGTTAATTTGCGTCGTGACTGTAAAAGTGTAGTATTTGTCGTTCTGTCGGCTCCAGTATTGAACCAGAGGTGATAAATAACCCGAGAATAGCAGAAAATCGTCACAGCGCTCGGTAAAACAAGACCAAACACGAGGAGCACAAAACGGTAGGTTATGTTAAGAGTTTCAATCCAAACGGGCATTTCATTTGTCCCATTCATGATAGCGGCGTTTTTCCAGGTGTGTTGTTCACTTAAAAAGGTGATAGCGTATCCCGGCGCACTCAAAACACCAGCGAAAATCCATATCACGATAATAACTTTCCACAGCAGAGATTTCACCGCTCTTGTCAAGTGCACAAAAGGCTTCAGAATCGCACAATACCTCTCCACTGCCAGGGCAACCAACATGTAAATGGAAGCCAAAGCGTGGAAGATGAATTCTGCAAAGGAATAAACAACCTGGTCTGAGAGTAGAAATATGTCCACGCATGTAAAAACGGTGAACAACAAATCCGAAGACGCGAGGTTGGCCAGCAGGCACGTGTTTGCATTATTTAGTTCCTTGTTTCTCTTAATAACTGCAATGACGAGAACGTTGCCAACAACATTGCAAAGGAGAATTAAAATGGAGACGCAAGCTATAATTGTAACAAAGATATCCATTTGCTTGGATGTACAGAAATGATGAGAATATTCTCGTGCTACGCGAGGAAAAACTCGGGTTCTGTCACGATGGCGATTTAAATTAGTCAAGTCCGGGAACTCTTTGCTGTAAAGCTAAACAGGTTTTTATTAAGAAGAGAGTTTATTGTATTAAAGAGTGGGTAGTGCTCTTCAGCTGAACAAACCCGCTTAGTGGCTGACTTAAAAAAAAACATTAATTTCAACTTTCATTGGATCGCTAATATCAACAGGCGTAAATCATGCATATAGGACATTTTAATATGAAGGACATTGCATTTTAACAAAAGGATTCATGAGGCTGTGTGAAGACCGGTTACGTAGTTGGATTTTACACGGGAAGGCTTTCAAGGTTTAGTGCTGAGTTGAATGAGGATTTTTATGCAAGAGATTTTAAATATAATTGGCAGGCTGCTAACACATGCTGATCCTTGCGTCGCTTGTAATATATCAAATTGCAGAATATTGAAACTGTAAAAATTATGCTGAAGTTAAGCGTTGCGCATGCGAGGATGACGAGGTAGTAAGTGGTGGAAGAACTTGATAATGAGGTTTGGGATCGTGTCAAACAACACGTCCAGACGAGAGTAATTCGTAACAAAACCTTCGTAAAAACTAAAATTCAAGTTGGAAGACTCAGCTATGAAGTATAGCAGATCCAGTCGGACTCGAATGCTCGAGAGTATATTCTGCTAATTTCTCTGTATTTTTTGAAATAAAATGTTCTCTACAAATGATTTTGTTTTGTCGACTAAAGTTAAGAGTAAAAAGTTTACAAATCAGCAAAATTTAAGTGGTTACCAGAGAAATCATAAGTTTTTTCAGGAATTTGAGTCAACGTGACCCTTTGGGAAGCGGTTGTACAGTAAAATTTAAATTGTGAAATGATCTCTTATTTCTTGTTTCTGATGGCTGACAAAAAAAACTTTTCTAGAAGGTCAGTATGAGAAGTTTCAGCCATAATTGTTTTACATTCTGAAGCAAAACCTCGATTAGTTTGTAGAGGATTATATTGATCCAAAATACAAGGTGTATCTAGAACTTTCGAGCAGCAACAACAACAACAACAACTTTATTATGACTCGCATATTTACAATTTTACAGAAATATATATACATTAAGTTAAAAAAGCTTGACAATAGCGACAGCGCGAACCCGCAGGTAGCCTGGGCTAATCTAGGCGGGACCTTAGACCATTAATACATAAATAAGATTGTTATGCAACTACTTATAGAAGGATTTACAAAACCGTTTGATAAAAGTACATTTACATATTTTGATTGACACTAGGAGCTATGAATAACTAGAAATAAACTAAACTATGGGCATTCTAGTACATGCTGAGTATATACAGAGCTTAATTGTACTATAGATATTGACCTCTAATAAGGACCATAATCGGGTCTCTGATTACCGTAAATCCCATAATTAGCACCCTCTCTCGAATATGCACCTCCTTAGAATAAGCGTCCCTCATATCAGCTGAAATTTAAAATAAGCGCCCTTCCCTCGAATAAGCGCCCCCCTCCCCTCCCCCCATTTTGTGGGCGAGTAATTAGACAACAGAAGATGTTAGTTTTCGTCGTGTTTAATCACTCTCGTTCAGCTTTTTTTATACAGTCATTAGTCACAAGCTAACGTGATGGCTGCAAAATAATAAACAATAGATGACTGTGAACCAAAAATAGTAAATTTTATAACAATTTTTGAGCTTCATACCAGTCATATAAAACAAATAGATTCCATGTTGCAGTGCATCTTTTAAGTAATGAGGGAGCTTAAGAGTCGCTGACTGGAAATATCGAGAATGGCTGGCCAGGTTCGAAAAATCGAAAATCCTGAAACTTTGCCTAAAGAACGCTTTTAGGGCGCTACTTTCGAAAATGTTATTCCGATTTTCTTAGAATTTAAAGTATTCGAGAAATTCGCAAAAAACGAAAATACAGCTTTTTGCCTCATTAAATATGCAAAAAATATCTGGAAAGTTGACGAAGTTCTCGGTATCGCATTGAAACAATTTACAAAACTAGAACACGGGGTAAACTTAGCATAGGAACTTTACCTTTCTTCTATCTAACAATAGGAAGTTTTAAATTTTTCAGGCATTTGGAAAGATTCCGTTCACCGTCGAAGAATCGCCTTTTCAAGCCCCTATGAAAACAACAAAAATTGCGTAGTTTTACGGGCTTAAAACGCGTCTTGGTATGTCCGATATGGAACTAAAACAAGTACTGTGCAAAAGAGTGTCGTTTCTACTATA